ATATTTATCTTTGACGTAGTATTGCTCTTGAGTTCTGTCAGAGGTAAAGAATAAAACAAACCCATTCTTGCGCCATCCCCTCCTAAAATCAAAATCACTTCCATTCATTTACTCCACATCGCTCTGGATCTATAATTCGCCTTTTTCTGGCTGCTAGGCAACCTGGACACAGTACCAAGTAGTAGCTGTATATGCTCGTTAAGAATGTAGAAAGTTAACCCAATGATTTATTTTTTAAGTAATGAGAAAACACCATAACCCCAAATAGAATGGCTTTCCTTTCTGATCGGTAATTAGCATCTCTGGGAATACAGAACTGTTTGTCAAGAGACAGGCAATCCTGAAACACACATACCACCACGCTATAAATGAGCTTTTTTGGAATATTCAATTGAGGATATTCTTTCTACAAGAGGGTTTTTTAAATGCCAGTGGTATAAACGAACACACTGTAACCAGCTTTTATGAACTGTGTTTACAGAGAAATCCTAACATGCAAAATGGTTTATTATCCTCCACCAATTCAATTTAATTCTGGAAAATTAATTTAAAGCAATTTAATCAACCCTTTGTACAAAGCCACCTTCACAAAGCACAACAACATGCTAAATGAGTAAAAGTTACAATGCACTGCATACAAAGTACTCAGAAAAGAAATGTAATAGGATTTGTTTTAAACAAATTTGGTTATTTCCTCTCAAGGCAAAATATACTATTTGTACTCCATTAACGGAAGTTTTACAAAGCAATTGTGGCTTTAAAAGCATTCATGTTTTTGGTAAAAGGTTTTCTCCTATTCACAACCCAAGAGGTAAAAAACACTATTCATAGATCTCAAATCTTTTTAAACAGGAGTTATTAAACTCCTGACAAACTGGAACAGTAATGGGGAATCTTGTTTTAAGGATCAATTTGGACCCTCCTATCACCATTACATTTATACCTAATTATTAAATCTTGGTGTATAAAACGTGAATATCCTAAAACACACACAGAGAAATAAGATCTGCATCTTGCATACAGATCAATTTCCACTAGACATTTTAATGCTAAAACACAGTCAGGTTACAATCGTCAGACTGGCAAGCTGAGAATGGCTCTCAGAAAAAGTGTGCAATTCTCATCTTTGAAAACATGAAAGAAAAAACAAAGCAACTACTGCTCATCTGAGCTTTCTACCAAAGATACAACATTGTTTTGATCAATGTAAACAAAAGGCAAACCCTGTCAGCCCCAAAATATTCTTAGGTTCTTGGATAACAATTCTGATTTAATCACCCACTACAACTGGATTTCTTCCTCCTTCACGTCCTGCATGATTACAACTAAAGTTTTTATACATAGCCACGTGAGTGCCACTACAATTCCAGTCTGGCAAGGCTTCATAACTGCCGAATTGCAAAAACACCGTAGAGCAGAGAACATTATAGGTCCCCAACAAAGTTGCTCCATTAAGTTTGATATATAGAATGCTCAAAGGAAACTCAAGGGATTCTTTAAATAATTGCCTCCTTACAAAATTATTTTCTACAGTATTAAGATGGATCAAGTAAGAGTTGCTATTAAGGTTCAGAGGCCATAATTTTTTTTTTAAGTTAGCATGACCTTGTCTGGAAAGCCACAAAGTATAACAGTTAAGTTGCCAGTGAGGTTTCATTTAATCCAGAATGCCACATGTCTGGCAGTTGTCTATACTAGCCAACATCAGATCCATAATCCTCTACTGAAACAGCTGCACAAGGGACAAAACCCTCTTGTTTCCGCAGGGCTCAGTTGATTTAAGCCACTGTGTTGTTTGAACTAACAAAGCCTTACAAAGTTGCTATTAGTTCTAACCCAGTTCACCTGCCCCTGTGAAGAGCTGCTGGAGTAGACACATTTGTATAATGAATGTGCTCTTTCAAGTTAAATGGTAGAACAGTGTTGATGCCCAGCATCAGTCAAGGACTATTTTCACTGTTAACACATTTAGGATGTAATTCATTCCCATGCGGAAGGCCAGCACAAGAGCTAGATACCATTTAAGTCCCACGTAAGCCCTCAAAATAGGATTTAAATTGTGTCTGGGCTTTGTGCTGACTCTGCACAGGGACAAATTTCATCCATTGTTATAAAAAGACACTGTCAGGGTAAAAAGTCTTAGGGCCTGAGTCTCCTCTGCCTTTCATCTCATGTTTTGCACTCACTTTACAAAGATGGAAACAACTTTCAAGGCATTGGAGAGTCAGGTCCCTCAAATTTCAAAATAAGAGGTCTTATTCTTTTGTCCTAATACTCTTTTCATTATCAAAACAAAGAATTTTCCCATTATTTTTCAAGCTGTAAGCAGTTTACTTTTCACACTTCACAACTAATAGTCAAATTTCTTTTGAATTTAGAGTCAGTTTCACTCACTGTTCAATTTTTCATGCACTAATATAAAGAGAAGCATAACCCTGCTAATCTTCATTCACATGGAGAAGTATCTTTCTCTGCATATGGCCCCACTGAAATAAATAGGGAGTGGCAACAAATAAGTTTTTACAGAGAATAGAGCCTAATGTAGGCTCTGTAAGTCACCTGTTAAAAAGAAAAGTAGTAAAGTTAACCCTAGGTAGGGTTGCCAGATAGTTTCACAAAAAATATCCAACATGACAGGAACAAATTGGTTGAGCAAAAAAAAGCCACACTCCCCCACACCGCACGCGCGCGCACACGCACAAGTCACCGTACCTTTAAATCCTCCCTTCATCCCCACCAGATTTCCCAACGGCCTTTTGACCGAAAAAACCAAACAAACAAACCCAGACTTTTTTTTCTTCTTTTTTTTTTTAAACCAGACAGAAGCCTCAAATACCGGACTGTCCAGGCCAATACCAGACACCTGGCAATCCTAATCCTAGACAGCAACAATTTATAAGCAAACAATTCCTTTCATTCACCTACAAACATTTAGTTGCATTATGAACCAAGTAAGGGCTCAGATTTTGGTCTCTTACTAGTCACCACTACAGTATTTACTTCCGGCCCACCCACAGGGCCAGCAGGGAGGAAAAGGGGGCAGTTGCCCTGGCAATTCGAAGAGGCTCAGGGCTCCCAGCTGCCACCACCGCTACATGTGGCTCTGAGGATGGGGGGGGAAGAACAGCACTACAGTTCTGACGCTGATGCCCAGCCCCACTCTTTTCAACTGAGGCCCTGCCCCTTCCAGAATGGTGGGCTGGTCCCCCCCCCCACAAGTTGCTTGGGGGCCCACGGAAGCTCTCCACTCCTCTGACTTAGTTTGAAGTTTACAATCAGGTTTGACAAGAGTAAGTGAGCTCCAAATAGGTTGAAATATTAAGCGGTTTTTTAAAGGAATCGACTTAAAATCTTTGGTAAAACTCTCGGTTCTGACTTATTATGGTTCTGTGAAAGGGATATTAAAAAGTACATTGCCGTGGAACTGTTAAGTATTCAGTTCTGCATTTTAAAATAGCCTTTTAAAAGGAAATGTTGTTGATACTATATTACTACAAATCCTGCTATTTTAATTGACTTGTCTCTGAAATATCAACATAATACACACTTTTCACATTTATGGCTTTTCCAGAAGACTTCAAACCATCTTTATTCAAAGCTTTTGACTAAATCAAAATTGTATTAGGAATGTTCTTGATAATCATCTGAAGTGAGTTGTGCCCACTTCATGTGCTCATGAAAATTCATGATACCTTCTATTAGTCTTTAAGGTGCTGCTAGACCATTAGTTGTTTAAGTTTTTCCAGTTACAGACCAACACGGCTACCCCTCTATAACTTTAATGAGTTTGCCTTCCTTTTACAAACTTCATTAACAGGACATGAAGTCCTGTAATAAAGTCAAACACCACAGGGGAAATATGTTTAATTTGGTAATGGTTTTAGACTCTGAAATATCCTCATAACCCAAACACTAAATCAAGTAATTTCATTGCTAGATCTGTGCCAACCCATATATCACAGTTTTATTTTGTCACCAGAATCCAGCAACAAGGCAAATATTGTGTTGCTATTAAATCTGTTGTACCTTGCACCTAGAGACATAAGTAAATATAATTAATTTGATATCTAAGGAAAATGCTTTAGTTAAAAAAAAATCCTCCTATTAGATGCCCACTCTGAAATCAAGACACACAAGTTCAGAATGCTGTACTTTGTACAGTGATATATTTTAATTGAGAAACTAAAGGATTAGTTATGAATCCATTGCCTATGGATTAATTAAAATGTTGCTCATCTGCCATTTTTCTATTGGCTACAAATGTCTGGCAAATGATAATACATTGTTTCAACCAACCTCATATCCGGTGTCTATTTAATTAGTTTGGAGACAAAGCTGTACAGAGAGCAATTTTAAGCTACTGCAGCTAGCTCTTGAGAGAAGTTCACACAGCTGGCCTGATCTCTCCCTGTTTGATATCTTAGTCATATGTTTACTACAAACAGGAGTGTTTTGCAAGGGAATTCTAAGTTTTGAAGAATTACAAAGCATCCACATAGAAGCCAGAGCACCAGTTTCCAATTCAGTTTGGATGCTAATTTTCTGGGGTATTTGATCACTCAGGTGGTCCCTGTGACCAGCTACACCAGCCGCTGCAGAAATCTAAGTCACAGAATATATGACTTGCACCATCTCCATGAGCTCTAGTAACAGGACCAGAGGCTTCCAGCAGGGGGCCTCAGTCTGGTATACCATGTCACACACCGTCACTCCCTATAGTTGTGTGTGTAAGGACCCTCAGAAGCTGTGGTGAACTCACCTGTTTCTCCTCAGCAATGCAATTTTGCACCAAGATGCAAACATATTTGGTGGATATGAGCTGATCAGATTTAGAGTCTCCAAGTGTGGGGAAAAGATACAATGATTAACTAGAATACTCCAGGATTTACTTTCAAAAAGTCAAATGCTTCAAATAACTTGGTCTTAGCATTTATGATTATTTTTCCTGGGACATCTTTGCCCAGGTTTAAATAAAATATTTACAAAGCACCAGCACTTACCCAGATCTGCAGTTTCACCCGCTTGTCATTCCTGTAAACAGTTTTCACTTTGAAGTCAATGCCGACTGTGCTAACAAAAGATGGTGTGAACGTGTCATCCACATATTGAAAGAGAAAGGACGTTTTGCCCACACTGCTGTTGCCAATGATCAGGAGTTTGAACATGTAATCGAAATTTTGGTCTGAAGCATCATTGTGTCTGTATCTTGCATCTGTTACTGAAGCCATCTAAGAAAATGACAATGACACAAAGCAAATGTAAGTAGTTAATGGTCCTTATCTCAGCACCTCATATTGAGCTTGTAACCCTTCTTTCTGAAGCAGTTAAAGAAAGGGGGGATACACTTTGAAATCATCTATGTGGGACATAGTTTTTAGCTCCCATCACATACCAGTGCGCACAGAGGTGGTACTAGCCCACTGCTGGGGGCCTTAATCAGAAATATTGAGAGGGAAGCGCACCTCCCATAAACAATTGCTTAGTCTTTTTATGCATAACACCACTGAGAGCATGTGTAGTTTTCAAACCCAGGCTATAAATGTGATGCACAGATCTGGATTCATCTACAAGATGATAAATTGGTGATCTGGGGCTTTTCAAATATTAACAGAGAAACAGCATTTTGTACTCAAATTAATGTTGCTTTGTCTACACTGGCAATTGGGTGACACAGCTTTTGTCATTCACAGGTGCTTAAATGCCCCCTCACCTCCCAAAAAAGCTGTAAACTGTACTTTGTCAGCACAAGTGCTCATGGGGGGTGTTTTTTTCTAGGTTTGTAGGGGGTTGGTTTTTTTTTTTTTTTTTTTTTTTGCAAAAGTGCCAACAGTGTTTACACTGCTTGGTTTTTAGCAACATGGCTATGTTGACACAGCCCTGTCACTAAAAGCTGTACAGGGTAGACATATCCTGAGTACTTCTGTAAGCTGCTATGCTACAGAAGAGACCTGAAGTCTCCATTACAGCTAAGGCAATTCACTGAGGCAGCCATGGTGGGTAAGTGAACAGAAATAGTTTCAGTAACCGCTACTAGAGAAAACAACCACCTCCTAAATACTAAACTACGCTAGCTATGCTGGCTTCACTAGACAGGTTCTTTTAGAGATTTTCCGGTAAATATTTTTTTTTAAGTCTCACTAAATCCACCTGTTAATTATAATTTTGAAAGCAGATAATATAAATGGCATCTGTGGGGAATAGAATGGCTCAGAAGAACTGTGGGTGGTATTATGACAGGTTATATATACTACCTCTGTGGGTTTCCAGACAATACTGGGCCTTGTGAGCCAACTGAGAAGAGTCAGACTTAACCCTCCCCCTGTCCCTAGTAGGATTTAGTGAGCATGCAGAAAAAGGTTATCTGAGAAGTTAAGGTAGCTGGAACTCATCAGGCAACCACAGCTCACTGCTTTAACTCACAAGACAGGAAAAGACACAAGGTGGGGAAGCTAATATCTTATACTTCACCAACTTCAACTGGTGAAAGCAACAAGCTTTAGAGCTTACACAGAGCTCTTTATGTCTCCTGGGAGTAAAGCAGCAGCAGCAACACTGGATAAGGCAGGGGCTGCTCTGACCAGAGAAGGGGACTATGGAAGCACAGTCAGAAAGGAGGTTTCTGTTAGTCTTCCATTGCTGTTCATAGGTGTAGACTGGGGGATTTGGCCTCTCCATAAATCTAACTTTAGCCTCTCCACAAATTTGAGGAGTGTATCAATAATGGAAACACTGGATTTGAAACAGAAATGTCTCATTTTATCAAAAGCGGACATGGTGCAAAAATACTCATTAAAAATGACTGTCAGTAACCATTAGCGCCACCACCTCTTGAATTTAAAAAAGTTATGTCTCTGTTTGTATCCAGATAGGGGTACATTTCATTCATTTAGGGCACATCTACACAGCAGGGCTAAAGCTGATATAAGCTAAACAACTTGAGCTACATCAATGGCGTAGCTTAAGTTGAAATAGCTTACTTTGGCTTTTGGCACTATCTACACAGCAGGAAGTCCGAGAAAGAGCACTCTTCCTCCGACTTCCCCTACTCCTCATAAAATGAACGTTACAGGAGTCAGAGTAAGAAGTCCTCCAGCTTGACATTATGTCAAAATAACTGCTTGTAGTGTAGATGCAGAATATGCTATTTCTAAATAACAGCAGTTATTCCGAAACAACACTGCTGTGTTCACGTACCCTTAGAGCAGGCCTGCACAACTCAGAAAGCGGCGAGAGCCATATAACTCCAAAGAAAACAGGTGCGGGCCACAAGGGTAGGTTTTGGGGTGGAGGATAATTAAAAAATTCTTAATAAAGTAAGTCAGACCTGCACAACATATGACTCCCAATACAATTACCCTCTCCTCTCCCAGTATCACCCCGTCTCCCCTCCCACTGACACCTCCCCTCCTGCCCTTTTCCTCATTGTCTCCACTTGGCCCCCTGGCATTTGTCTCTCCTGCACCCTGCCCCTTGGTGCCTTCCCCTTTCTCCTGACCCGTTCCTCCCCCCTCAGCACAAGCCCCTTCCCCTCCCTATCTGGCTTCTGCCTTCCAGTTTGCGGGGCTAACGGAGCCTCTTTGAATCCGGCGGTCACCAGCCGTAAAGTCACGACGCCACGTCACACCAGTGTCCTGGCGTCTGCTACCGTCCCACCCTCTGGCTCATGCCCCGCCTCCTTGCGCCGGAGCTACATGCAGGCAGCCCGGCAGCAAAAATTGCTGCACTTCCCCCTCCCCGGTGGTGCTCTGCTCCTCCGCCCAGCCAGCGGATCAGATGGGGCCGCGCCGCCTGTCGTTGTCCCGGGCCGCACAGTGAGCCCCCGCAGGTCGCATGTTGTGCAGGCCTGCCTCAGAGATTACATTTGTCACTGAGAAGACAAGCAAGTAGTCTTGAAGTAGTTGCCTGTCACAAATACATGGAACATTTCATTGCTAGCTTTGAACCAGTGCTCTAGAATGGGTCAACAGTGACTAGCAGTCAACAACTGTTCAGTGGTTCTTATACAACATGAGACAGTCTGAGTCAACACAGCTGTCTTGTCTAATATCCCTCTCCTTGTTTGCAGGTTTAGAGGTCACAGATTGAATGGATTTACACACACAACTCCCCACTCATACTAGAAACTCACTCTCTCCACTGTATTCCCAAGCACATAGAACAGAGCACAAATTTCCCTTGTGAGTGAGACCCACCCAGGGAGGGAGTAGGGCAGGGGTGGGCAATAGTTTTAAGGGGGGCCACTTCAGGAATTTCAGAAGTGGTTGCAGACCACCCCAGAAGGGCAGGGCCTTGGGTGGAAGGGGCGGGGCTTTGGATGGAGGGAGAGGGCCAGGAGACTTCAAGTGCTTCCCTACCCACAAACCCAGACTGGCCTAGGGAGTGAGGGAGCACAAGAAATCTTTGCCCCCCCCCCCTTCCCCGCCAGGAGACTCCAGCACCTAGAGAGAACCACCAGCTATTTTCAACCGCTGGCAGTTCCCTCTAGGCACCATGCACCCCTGGTGGTATGAGAAGACTTCCCATGCTTCCTCTACCCCCAGGCCAATTGGGGGAGCGGACTCCACCCTCCCCATCAAAAAAGATAGAAAACGCAGCAGCATCAGGAGGGGGGGGCCAAAGGGAGGTTTTCCCTTTTGTTCAGGAGGCGCCTCCCTCCTTCCTTGCAGCTCCCAGCCACTGGGAAAGGCCTGGGGGTGGGGAAGCGGACACAGTCTTTGGTGCCACGCACCCCTGGTGGGAGGAGGAAACTTTGTGCACTCCCTCCATATACAGGCTGAATTTTTGCTCCCTGCCCCACCCTGCCAGGGGTACACGGTTCCCTTCTGATAGGGCGTGGCAGACAGCGCGAGATTGTGTGCGCTCCCTGATTGGCCTGGGGACAGGGGGAGCATGTAAATTCTTCCTCCTCCCGCTTTCGGCACCGCACGCCCCTGGCAGGGAGAGGAGACTTCACGCACTCCTCTGTCCTCAGGTCTCAATTGGCCTGGGGGCAGGGAAGCAGCAGAAGAATGGCTGTAGGCCAGATCAACCCGCTTGACCAGCCAAATCCAGCCCACGGAAGCCCTTTTGACCGCCCCTGGGGTAGGGTGACTACACAGTAAGCGTAAAAAACTCTGGACAGGAGAGGGAGGGAAGGGAGGTAATAGCTGTAGGCCTGACAAATAGTAGTTATTGTAAACGTTACTTTATGTAGTTCTATAGATTGTTTCATAAGCTTTGTTTTATAGCAGCTGCTGGTGCATTAAATATATTTTGTATTAGGTACTATAAATGTGTAAAAAAATTATTCTATAAACAATTTCTAACTGTTAAGTCTGTAAGAAATCCTGCTTGTTCCTTTGTAGCAGAAATTGATTTACTTGAAATGAACTGTTCTTTGTGTCAGTGAGGAATGTGTGAAGACAAGAGACAGAAGATGCCAGCACCAGATGGCCAGAATGGTTAACAAGGAGCTATGAGCTCCGGCATCAGTCAAATTCAGGATGGCCAAAAAGGGGCAGAATTAACCACCCTAAAGCAAAGGCACACAGCTGCAAATGAGATTCTGAATGAGATAAACCAACTGCAGTCACTCCCAGGATCCAATAGAGCATGACTATGGTAGACTAAAGTTGGGACTTATAACTATAAAAGTAGGGGGTGTAGCATGAAGCTTCAGGTTCAGTCCTGCAATACCTTGGAGCCCACCTCTTCGCTCATGTTCAATCTAATTGGCCACTAGATTGATTTGAGCAACAACAGACTGGCAACTATAAGATCAGTAGGACGTGTGTGTGTGAGTTTGTGAGAGAGAGAGAGAATGAATGCTGATTTCTATGCTGTATTTGCAATAAAGACAGTGTACTGCCTTTTCCCCCTGAAAAAGATCTTGCATGCTTCTTATAAAGCAAAACATAGATGCCTCTAAGACAAAGCCCCAAGTATCAGGACTGTTCTTATAAAATCAGGACATCTGGTCTCCCTAAGTGTTCTGTTCTTCTAAATGATCACAGATTATCCAATGCTGAAACAAAAGACAGGACTATGGAGCACTTTAAATACTAACAAGATAGTTTATTAGGTGATGAGCTTTTGTGGGCCTTAAAGACTAACAAGATGGTTTATTAGATGATGAGCTTTCGTGGGCCAGACCCACTTTCTCAGATCAAATAGTGGAAGAAAATAGTCACAACCATATATACCAAAGGATACAATTAAAAAAAAAGAAAAAAAAGAAGAACACATATGA